TATCATAATACTCGAAAACCAGCGGGAGAACACTTTAACCTGTCTGGGAATTTTTTCGCAGACCTTTTGGTTGCAGTTCACCCTGATTGAGTGACCTCAGCTGGCTCCCACGGGCAGCACCGTCACAGGGTGTATGGGTCACCGGGGTCCTGGGAGGGGAGGAGGAGGACTGGGAGTAGAGGGGAGCAGGTCACCAGGTGCAGGGTCCCGGGGCTGGGCCCTCGGCCGCTCTCACTCGGGATCGATGCAGGTGTAGGTCGTGTTCCCCCACAGGAAAGTGGGAGGGGCAGAGCCGTGGCCCCACTGCAAGGTGAGGGCACTCTGCTCACAGATCCAGCGGCAGGGGTCTGTGCACGACCCGTCCGACAGCCCACGGCCCGACACCCTCCCACAAGCCAGGTAGGAGGCGGTGGAGCGCGTCACTGGGAAGAGCCTGGGCAGAGAGAACACAACAGGCAGCGTCAGCGACTGCTCCGTCAGGACGTGTCCTGGGGCCTCCTTCATGGAGATCCCTGGGGGCAACACCCAACCCTCCACCCCACAGGGGCTCTGACAGAGCCGGGCTGGGGCCCCAGAAACCAGGTGCAAACTGCAGCTCAGGGCCCCCTGGACCCCCAGGAACCAGCAGCGTATTCGAGGGGATTCTCCCTGGGAGCACGCTTGGTCATGAGACCCCTGAGCCCATGGGCCCATCTAGTCTGGTCTCCTGGCTCTGCTGCAGACTGGCTGAGGCCATGGGCAAGGCAGGCACTGCCGCTCCTGGTGCCAGCTGTAGGTTGGGGGCATGTGGGGGTGCAAACAAATCCACCATGTTAGCGCAGTTCAGGCAGGACAGGATGTGAGGGGAGCCCCCAGGGATCAGCTACAGCCTGTTGGAGACCCTGCTTGGGGGCCCTCCCTGAGCACGGAGGGGGTGTGTGTGGGGGAGATCTCTGTGCAGCCTGTGTAACAGGCAGGGAGGGTGGGGGAGCTGGGGAGAGCTGGCTGTGGGCAGCTCCTCTGCCTGTATTGTCCTCAGCTCCCCGGAGCCGCAGGACCACGTGAGAGCGTCCCAGCAGCCCAGTGGGCAGTTCTCGGCAGCCCTGGTAGAGGACAGCCCTGGGGCCGAGGCGGGGGGCTTACCCGTTCAGTGCAGAGCCGTCCACCCACTTCCAGTCACGCCCGGCATGTTCCTTCTTCAGCCCAATGTGGAACGTGTTGCTCTTGGACACGCGCTGCAGGAAGGCCTGCCGCACAAGGAGCCGGTGAGTGTGAGCCCCAGCGCTGTGTCACACGCGTGCACATACTCACACGTGTGCGCACACGCTGCGCTAAGCAGCCCAAGCAGCTGCGGGCAGAGCAGTGTGGACGAGCAGACAAGCGCAGTCCCAGGGGCAGCTCGCTCTCAGTGGCGAGGTGCGGGCGAGGTGTGGGCCGAGCAGCCGTGGTCGTGGGCCCAAACCCAGCAGGGCTCTGTCTGCAGGGAAGGACACCGGCCCTGCTGCCAGGAGCCACCATTGTTACTAAGCTACTGGAACAATGGGGTTTGGGCAAATACCCTGCGCCACTCTGTGCGTCTCACGCCGCCTGCACCGGGCCCGGCCGTCGGTGCCTCGACTGTATGTCTGAACGGCACCTCTAGCAGCACCGCGCCCTGGCGCTCTGCTGGGCCAGCAGTGACTCCCACGGGCCAGCACCCTCCTTGGAGCGCCCCACGCAGGGAGCCCACTCGCCCGGTTTATACCGACACGCCTCTTTTGGGCTGCGCTGTCTCCTGGCCAGGGCTGGGACAGAACCGGACGTGGGTTTGCCCAGTATCAGACGGGGGGGGAGGAGGTGCCGTTTTGAACAGTGCGGCGCTTCGCCCCCACTGACGTGATCTTGCATACACACTGTGTGCAAGGTCAGGCCAGCGGGTGTGGGGGCAGCACGCTCTTGAAAACGGGGTCACCGTGTGGCGTGATCCCGCACGCACCATGCAGAGGAGGTCACACCGGCAGGGGCGGGGTCACGCCATCCCCAGAAGTGCTGGAATGTCCCGTATTCTGGGAACGTGTGAGTGCCTGCCCACCCCGCACGCTCCCTGCAGCGCAGCACCCCCAGCGCAGCCCTGACTGTGCAGGGAGAGCGCCTCCTGCTGAGCCCCGCTGCTCCCTGCAGCGCAGCACCCCTAACACTGCACTGGGGCCAGCCCTGACTGTGCAGGGAGAGCGCCTCCTGCTGAGACAGCTCTGATCTCTGTTCCCTGGAGATCTCCCATCACCCCGCGCGGGAAGGACGCCCCCTCTGTTTACCTGCTGGAATTGCACTGGCAATGGCAAAATCCTCTGTGCCGGGGTGACCAATGAAAACTGCCAAGAACCCGCCAGCCCAGTGCCAGATCCCTCCTCCCTGCACTAGGCCTTGCCCCGGAAAGTGTGGGGCAGGGGCTGTTCTCCCTTTGCCGGCGCCTCCAGGCATTCAGCACCATGGCCGGGGAGGGGAGGGTGGCTGGGTGCAGGGCCAGGAGCAGGTGTGGGCAGCGCCCCAGTCCATGGCCCCATGGTGCAGCTGTTCTGGCCCTCGCGCCGAGCACTCACCAGCGTGGCGTTGGCTCTGATGGTGACGAGCTGGGCGCCCCGGGAGCAGCAATCCTCTTTGCTCTTGGCCCAGTCCCTCTTGGCTGAAGAAAAGTAATAGCACTTCCCCGTGTCCCCGAGCCAGCCGGCTGGGCAGAACTGGCACCGCCCTGTACGGAGAGAGGGCAGCTGAGAAAACCAGGGAGCCCAGCCCATGCTCCGGCAGGGCCAGTCAGAGCAGGAGGCAGCTCCAGACCTGTGTCTCTGCCCCAGCCCTGGGGTGCGTACTGCTCTGCCTCGGCCACGGCGGGGCCCACCCCAGGATCCCACAGCGGATCGGGGGTCCTGGGATGAGCCAGGGGGGTCTCCCAGCGCTCTGGCTCCCAGGCTGTTGAGGGCTTGGTGGGCTGGAAGCAGCAGGAGGTGATGGGCAGTCAGGGCAGAGCTGGGGGGGAGCGTGCTGGAGTGCTAGACACGAGGCCTAGATTGTGGGTGCCAACAGCCCGTGGGGAAGGACTCTGGGCTCCTCCGTCCTACAGGGCTGGGAGCCGGGCTGACTCTGGGGGGCAGCGAGACCCTCCCCAAGCCTTTCCCAGGACCCTGCCCCACTCACATACCTGCCAGGAACCTCTCCTGCTGCTGCAGCCTGTGTTCGAGGCTCTCCTCCATGATCTTCAGCTTCGGGGCACAGCTCCCCACTTGCCCTAAAGTTGCAGACTATGAACACAGGAACTGCCAGCCTGGCTCAGCCCAGGGGCCCCTCTAGCCTGGCCTCCTGGCTCTGGCACTGCCCAGTGCCAGCTGCATCAGAGGACAGGACAGGGAACCGCTGCATGGCCAGTTGTGGAATAACCAGCCCATGGGGGAAATTCCCCCACCCTGCCAGTTAGGGGCTTGGCTCAGGCCCTGAGGTCACAGGGATTACATCCCATCTCAAAGCTCTTGTCTCCTCTCTGCTGGAGCGCTGGATGCCCTCGTTAGCCACGCAATGTTTAATCCTCATTTGGTTCCTGCTGAGCTTTTGGGCTCAGTGTGTCATGGGGCAGAGAGTTCCCCAAGTGCACGTCCAAGGTGTTTCCTTGTCTCTGTTTCAGGTTTGTTGCCTCTGACTCCCCGGCTGGGCCCTTGTCCCTGTGTTATAAGCCAGGCAGAAGAGAAGTTCCCAGTGTCCCGTCCCTATCCGGCGGGTTATTCTGGGCCCCTTTGTCCCTCTCAGGCCTCTCCTCCCTAACCCGCACCGGCTCAGCCTTTCAGCCTCTTCTCAGGGCAATCTCGCCAGGTGATGACTGGTCTTTATTGCTAGTCTCTGACCGCGCAGTGCCCAGCCTCCCAGGGGCTCGCGGGCGGCCCACTGAGCTGTACGATGGCACTGGAGAATTCTCTAGTCTGTTCTCCAGCCGGGGCCTTTCGCAGCCGGATGTTTCGCAGGCGCCGCGGTGCGCTGAGCAGATTGGCGGAGGGGTTCGAGTGACTCCTTTCTCTGGGCAAGACTTTGCATTTGTCGTATTGAATTTCATCTGCCACCCTGCAGCCAGGCCGCAGCTGGTGAGCGCGCCCCCTAGA